AGCAAGAATGAGCGGTGGATAGTCCATTTAGCTGCATATAATTTAATTGCGTATAAATATGCTTTTTGTTTTTTTTCTTCAAACAAAAGCTGCATTTGAGGAGTTAGAAGTGAGGGGAAAAGACTAACTGTGGAAAAACATGGATCACTAGTGGTGGACTGCTCACTTTCTTAAACAAAATTACTATTTTAGTGATTAAATTAGAGTTGTGGTGATTTATGACTGCATTAGATATTTGTTTTAATTTTGTTTATCATATATTTACTTTTTCCTTTATTTACACTCACCAGCCACTTTATTAGGTTCCTTGTGCAGGTTGGACCCCTTTTGCCTTCAGAACTACCTTAATTCTTCATGTCACAGATTCAGCAAGGCGCTGGAAACATGCAACATGGATGGGTACACTGTGGTCATACAGGGATGGACACACTCAGAATATATACCAAATATTCTTGGGCAAGATACTAAGCCCAGGTTGATCTTTGATGTGTCTGTCAAGGTATGAATGTGTGCAAAGAAAGCACTTACATAGAAGAAGAAGAAGAATGTTCAAATCAGTGCTCAGAGTAGAAAAGTGCTATATAAAACCAGTCCATTTACCATATCTACAAATAATGAGTTGTGGTCTCCTCTGAAGTCTGTACACGGACTAATCAAGTGCCCTGATTGCTCTCCATTCCTGGACAAGTGCAGCCTGCAGCTGTGAAATGGTCACTGTGGCTGCTTGTGTTGAACACATCGACTTAGCATGTCCCAGACATTTTCACAGCCAGGTGTACTGGGACTAAATGCTTGGCTGGACTGTGCAGACATTGTTGTGCTGAAACAGTCACAGGGTGGCACTATGTCGACTCAGATCACCAGTGGTCATCTCATTGACATCCAAGGCTGGACATCCATGCCAACTTCAGTCAGTTGTGGCACTGATGACAATGTTGTGCATACCCTTGTTTTGTTTATTTGTTGTTTATTCGGTGTGTGTGTCTGTGCTCTAAAATACTGGCTTGAGAACACTGTAGACTGAACCAATACTGAGGTGTATAAGTGAGTTGAGGCCTTGAATGTAAGTAAGATACAAAATGGTAAAGATGAGAAAAGGCCTATGAATAGTCCATTGTAGCCTTGTAGCTTTCACTACTCTTGCTTCTCGGCCACAGTCTAATGTTGTTCTGTTTTTTCTTCTTAGATAAGGGGTTGCGGTTGCCTAGTCAAACTGTGGCCAGAGCCATGTCATCTTCAGGTGGTGCCACCCCTCCGTACACAACCCTGGCCATCAGTCGTCCTACAGAGTCCATCACGCATGTTGAACTTCACCGGCCTGAGAAACGCAATGCCATGAACAGTGCTTTCTGGAGGCAGGAATCAGAATTACATGTATACATATTTTACACAGTGTCAGAGGCATGACACATGCTATATATTATACCTGGATGCTGGAACCTGTCTCACAGTTTATATTCAGTTAGAAAGTCCATATTGTCCATATTCTTCAAGTAGGCTAGCTCCCTAACGTATTCAGTCCTCTGATCAGGAGAGAAGCACATACAAGAGTTTAAATAAATACAGTCACTCACTACAAACAAGTGAACACAATATTCAGACTATTACTATTTCGTGAATCGTTGAGAATCAATATTGCATCATTTAGTGTGAATAAAAAATATAATGCTAATACATGGAACTCTAAAAGTGTTAAATTATCAGACATAAAAGAGCTCAAAAAGTCAAACTAATCACTGGAATTAAAAGCTAAATTATTATTTGGGTGAACACTGATCTGAACTTGTGTTTCTCTGCCAGTGAGATGGTGACCTGCTTTAATGAGCTCTCTGAGGACCCCGAGTGCAGAGCAGTGGTAGTTTCTGGAGCAGGGAAGCTCTTCACAGCTGGTGGGTATACAGAATATTAAAACCTCTGTTCTCTTCTCTCAGTGGAGTATAATCAGTGTGTAAAATCTCATCTGTGTTAATGCGTCAGGTATCGATCTCATGGACATGATGAACAATGTACTTCAACCAGAAGGAGACGACACAGCCAGAATCTCCTGGGGGTTAAAAAAAAAGATTAGGAAATTCCAAGAGACCTTCTCCGTCATAGAGAAGGTCAGAGCGCATTATTAATGTAAAGAGTGAGAAGACTGAACCAGTCACAAACATGAGGTGTGACTGAATTATCAGATTTTATCAGGAAGGTTCCTGAACTGTGCTTCTTGCTCAGATGTTGCCTCTCTAAATCAAGATAAGTTATATTATCAATATTAGGGTTCATGAAAGCTCATTTTGCATTCATGTCCACTGTTGTATTGCTATCTTTTAAAATTCAGTCATCAGTTTTTACCATGGGTCAGCTGGGATAGACTTAATCCCCCCACCAACCCTGGCTATGAATTGGATAAATGATGAATGGTGGAAATTTTACTTCAGCCAAAGAAAGCCTTAGGATGGATTAGAAGTTACAAACATAGGATTTATTTTATGGTTATTTTGTCTTTAAAATTCCAGTTTTTGTAATGAAATTATATTTTTTTCCATTGGCATTGCTCATCTGTGTGACCTGCATGAAGCAACAGTAAGAGCTCAATACAAGATACACTGTCACACTGTTAATGTCTGTAGTGTAAGAGCAGTAGGACCCAGCGTGCACCAAGCTTCCCTTCCTTACAAATTCTCCCTCACTATCATTAAAGTACGTTTCCTCTTGAATTGTGTTCTCGCAGTGCCCGAAGCCTGTTGTGGTGGCCATCCATGGAGCCTGTGTAGGAGCAGGTAGGACATTGTAAAGATTACAGTGCTGTAGTGAATCATCTTAAGGTACAGGAGTTAGAAAAACACTAAAGTTCCTCGAATGTCTGCTTGAGTCTGGCTGCAAAAGGGAGTGAATTCCCAAAGAGTCTCGTGTTAAAATGTCCAACTTTACAGCAGAAATAAACGCATTTACAGCCAAGAAGAAATAAATGAATGTTCGTTTGTTTTTTAAGCCTTTGTTTTATGCATTTTAACACTTGAAGTTAGGAGGATGATGCTTTGAGAAGTGTGCAGATATAAGAAGCTGTAGCCACTGTGTGAAAAGCTTCAAATCCCCTAAAATTCCTAATTGGGTCATTCAGCTGGACCAGTCCAACGTGTTTGTAGTATGGATGAATTTTAATTGAAATATCTCCCCAAGGAGATTTGCTGTGTTCTGAAGGCGGTGGCTGAAACTATACATATGCCCCTCTACCCCATGGCTGCTTTCGATTTGACCCTAGAAGACAACAAGACATTTGAAAATACTATGTTTTCAAGCTTTGATATATAACTGGTTAGTTTACTGCATGGACATGATGCTAGCAGGAGCCAGGGAAACCCACAGGCTGTGATACAGGCTTCTTGGTTGTGGAGGTGTTTGACGCATTGAGTTTGGTGGAGAAAGGAGCTTCGGTGAGTTAACCGTAGGTGGTGTTTTCTCTGGCAGGTGTTGACATGATTACAGCCTGCGACATTCGCCTGTGCACCCAGGACGCCTGGTTCCAAGTTAAGGTATAATCATCTGATTTTATCACTGTGGTGAGGACAATTAGGAAACCATGGAATAGATAGCTGATTAAATTAAGACCAACTTATGAAGATTTGTGTTAAACAATTTCACAGATCTTGATCTCTTTGATCGGTCATATCCTACAGCAAGGTTTTGAGCAGAGATTACACACTAGATCTTGAGATTCTGTTTGCTAAATGTAGCATTGATGATGCCCTCTGCTTTGGCTCCATAGGAGGTTGATATTGGACTTGCAGCAGATGTTGGAACACTCCAGAGACTCCCGAAGGTCATCGGCAGCCAAAGGTGAGCCAGCAGCATGATTTACAATTGGGACAAGTTTCAAAGAAATTTATGACATGACACTGTTAAGTGACTGAATGCTTGTAGGTTTAAAAAAATCTATTTCTATTTTCAACAGTCTTGTTAATGAACTGGCTCTGACAGCGAGAAAGATGTATGCTGATGAAGCTAAGAGCAGCGGACTGGTCAGGTAAACAATGTTCCCTCATCACTCTTTTTCCAAATTAAAAGCACTTATTTATTCTAACAGTTTGAAACCCTTCCCTTCTTCTTCAGCCGAGTGTTTGCAGATAAGGAGGCGATGATGGCTGGAGCTCTGGAGATTGCTGGAGAGATTGCTGGTCGCAGCCCAGTTGCTGTGCAGGGAACCAAAATAAACCTCATCTATGCCAGAAACCACAGCGTAGCAGATGGATTGGATTACATTGTAAGGATGAATATAATATGACAAAGTTTTCTGTGCATATTTTTGTCAGCTTCACAACGTCACTCTTAAGGTTTGTGTTCAGAGTTCTACGGAAGGAATCTGGCATTGCTATCTCATTCCCTCCATTTCAGTTTCCTGGTGTCTTTTATATGTCACTTGATAGCATAAAGGGGATGTGGCATGCTCACTTAAATGCATATGAACTTATAAAGTTCCCTTTTTAAAGTACTGACTTAAATTCATCATTTCTCCTTCTCCAGGCCACGTGGAACATGAGCATGCTTCAGACTGAAGATCTGATGAAATCAGCTCAGGCAGCCCTCGAGAAGAAGAGTCCCAAAACTAAGACATACTCTAAACTCTGAACACCAGTGAGGCAAAGCTCAGATACAGAAAGTGCCTCTTTCCTCCTCCACTCCGGCCTTTCTTACAGCAATTTTATAAATCAAAATTACATTTACTAGCTGGAGATCTGTATCCACACTAGACAGTATTTTAATGTCATTATGTGTTTAATAATTCATTCAGGTTCATATTTCTCCTGCTCCAATATCAGATATGGATAATATTTAACTAAGGCAAATCTTAACTGACTGAGCTGAGAAACATTTTGTTCATCTGTAAACGACCTTCTGAATGTTTCCTCATTAAAGAGACTCGTGTGAAAGTGATTTCAAATATTCAGTACTGTTATTTGCCAAAATATTTTTACTTTGCATAATTTTATCTGATAAATTTTCTGATTCAGTTTGAGTGCAAATAACTTAAAATGCTTTATTGATAAAACTATAAATAAAATGTTCAAAGTAAACTATGACACAATCAAAGTCGATCACTGTTGGGTCTGCTTGGCACGAAGCTTCTGTAAGGTTTTCTGTGAAGAGATGGGAGAAAAACATTCTTTTAACTTAAATTCAGGAAGTTCCTGCAGCTCCAAGAAGCCTATGTATGATTAAAGCGCTTCACCTTGTGGAACTCCTTAGCTTTCAGTCTGTTTTTTGCATAATCTTCCTGTCGACTCTTCGAGGCTTTCCGATGCTTCACCTCCTCCAGCTGCTCATACAGCCTGCGGAACAAAATTATTTTGATCTGGTAAATTACACTTCTGTTTAAACTACCTGAATAACTCCAAATATTATTTGACTACCTTTGAGTTCTCTGGTGCATCTTGGAAAGATTACGTCTCCTTTGCTCCAGCGTGCAGATCTTCATGTCATCCAGCTTCTTCTGTTCAGAATCACTCACTGAGAGAAAACAGCAAAATGTCATCGTTACACACCATCACAACATAATCAGACTCGATACAAGCAGTGAAGTGAGTAAAAAATAAATTTAAAAAAATTATTTAGGGGACATTAGCCAATTCTAGCTAGTGACTGTTTCCATCAATTACCATCATCCCAGTCATTTAGTCAGCAAACTCATCCACTGGGCTTTCTCTGCACCAGATAAAGGACTCAGACCTTGAAACTTGGCCCACACACATTCCCATCCATTTCACTGAACACTGGAGCTCCTCAGGGTTATCTGCCGAGTCCCTTCCTTACCTACTGTACACCTCTGATTGCAGACCTGTTTATTTATCCAACATCATTATGTTGATGACACAGATGTTTCTGGGCTAATCTCAAGTGAAGAGGAGTCCGTATATGGAGACAGGTAGAGCGACAATCAGCACAGTGTTCAGTTTGCACCACTAAGACTATGGGGGGAAAGCAAAACAGACTCAGACCCACTGATGGAGAGTAAAGTCCTTCCAGAGAACCTGCCATAATAAAGTGGGCACATCAGAGGACATTTGGAAGGAACAACTGCTCATTTCTTTCTACAGTGCGACAGTTGAGTCTGTTGTAATGCACCGCTTACCAGTGTGGTATGCAGGCTGTTCTGTAGCAGACAAACAGGCACTGTGAGGAGTGGTGAGAACAGCAGAAAACAAAAAATATAAATGGCCCTACCTGGCGGATACTCAAACAAGCACAAAACATCATCAGGGAGTGCTCTCACCATCTGAACTGTTGCACTCACAGAGGATAGAGATCAACCAAAACCCACACCTCAAGGCTCAGAGACCGGTCCTTTCCAAACACCATCTGTGTCACTTACATGCACCAATAAATGTCTGCACTGATAATTGACTCATGCTGCTATTTATAGCTTACTTGTTGTATTTTTTATTGCTCTATTTGCAATGACAAAGCTATGTGGTTCTAAAGAATGCAGGTTTAACACATTTCCACATTAAATTTTTCAAACATAGAGGCTTCTTTAATATGCACTACATAAGCTGGTATAAACCTGCGTGCTGCCTCAAACCAGGCGCCTCATCTATAATAAAAAGACATACCATTGAAGATTAAGCTATCCAGCAGTGTATGAAATGATTAAAATGAGCCAGTAAAAACATCTGGAACTATTATCATTTGTGGATGATCCAGACCTCCTGCATGGCTTCCTGGACAGGCAGTGGAGCACCTTCTCTAACAGACTGATTCGGCTCCACTGTCATAAGGACAGGAAATATCTCACATGACATACCCTCACTCTCTATAATATAATTATCTCTCAGGCAGAAGCATCTGGCAGATTTCATGCAACCACTGTAATAAAATAATTTCCCTAATGCAGGATGAAGTAATTCTCATTTTTATTCTGGTGGTACCTGGTGGAAGAAGCTGGGGGGGTTTCTGCTGCTTGATGAAACCAGATTCCTCCATCTGTTGTGGGGCCTGTTCTCCCTTTGACTTTGTACTGGCCTTGTGTAGAGGTTCTGGTTTAGTTTTTGTGTTACAGGTCACTGGTTGACATGTGTTCGCTTTAGCTTGCTCACTTCCTTCTGGTAGCACTTGGAGCTCACGTTGAGTTTTAGCAAGAGCAGCTTTGGCCTTGATTTCCTTCACCCTGTGGTTGGATCTCTGGAGCAGAGCTGCAAGTTTCTGCTGGTTGACATCTGGCTGGTCTCTGCACGGACCCCACTGAAACTCTAGGACTGTCACTGGAAAGAGGGAAGGAAGTAACGGTCAGGTTTATAAAGTTTTGGCTTAAAAATGATGTAATGTTAGGAGAGAAAATATGTATATCAGTCCCTTGACGTCTGTACTACAAAGCAATTCAAAGTACTATATTGCTTTTTGATGATTAACAAAAACTGTAGACCATCTTAGAGCCCCTTAATACCAGCACAATGAGGTCTGAGCGATCCTCCAGAAGGAATCATCCTGTGACATATTTGATCAGTAGTCCGTGATCTGTAATATCAATTATAACCTGATCTGGAGCACTTATCCTGCAGCATAAGTTACCATGGCGATGTACTCTAGTAGGACATGAACGACTTTACATTTAAAACTCAGAGTTTAACCTGAAGTTACCTCCCTGAGCTCAGAGTCCTGCTTCGTTGTTCAGGCCTATGGTTTTCCCACAATTCACCAGTTTGACTCTGTTATATTTCAGGCAGATATATTCCACTTGCTTTACCTGGATGTGTTTGGCTGTCGTACTGTGGAGTCTCCAAAGGTATCAACGTAGATTCTGCACCCTACAAGCAAATGTTAATGTTTAGAGATGAGAAAGTAACCTGAATGAAAACCTGAATGAAAACTCAGTCACGTCACTTCTGAACAGTCACCTCCATCTCATGGCCTTTCTGCCCTTCCTCATCCCTTCCATCTGGATTCTTGATTACCCAAGCTCCCTCTTCCTCTGAGCTGGTGGACTCCTGGTCCTGCAGTGTAGAGTCTGTCAGGCTCACCAGTGTGATCTCAGACTGCTCCAGGATCCCCTTCTCTTTGGCTGCTTCCTAATAAACAATGAAGCAACACCAGAGTTATAAAAATAGGTAAAGCTAACTTAAAACACCAGAAATAACAGTTTTTACTAAAATAACTGTGCTTTTTCAAAGTTGACCAAAGTAACAAATCACAGATTCATACCAGTATCTTATCAGAGACAGGAGAAACATTCCTCAGATTTGGACCGTGACCACACTTGATCTCTTCGGCACTGATTGAATCCGCGCCTCCAAGCCTTTCCTCTGCCCGTGACACACCCAAAGCAGGTGTCTCATCACACATGGATAAATTTGACAGAATCTCAGCTGTTTGCTCAACATCTGCCCTCACGGTGGGAGATACTATCAGAACAGACTCCTGGGGATGGCATTGGGTGGTAATGAGCTGGGAGAAGGATTCATGTAAGGTGGAGGAAGCTGCGGGGCTGCGGTTTGGCTCCTCCGTTCGAAGACGCTCTGGTGATGGCTCGGACTCCACAGAAGAAAGATCAGAGTGCGAAATGACCTCTACAGGTGTGGTAACACTGCATTCCCTGCTGGCTGGATGCACGTCAGGAAAATTGTGCACGCTGTGCTCAGGCTGGTGAAAGGTGATAGAGAGGTCTGCTGTTTCGTTTTGGGTGACCTCTGCCAAAAGGGGGTGGAATGAATCTGAACCTGCAAACTCTAAAAATGGTGAAAAACAATCTTTCATTAGGAGTAGCACCTTATCTCATGGAGTCTCACTTTAACTCCTCACATACTAACACCTGTTCATTGGAGTGATGATTTATTTCGCTGGGCACCCTTAAGCAAACCCAGACCAGGCCTTTTTCCTAAACCTGACTTCGGCCAGGTTTAGGAAAAAGCACAAGCATAAGAATGGAGCTGCCACCTCACCTCCTTGCTTATGCACTTTTAACATAATTTTCAACTTTCTAATAACCAGTTAATAAATGGATTATCTTGATTGCTACTGTAAAGTGTCACCACAGATGACTGACCCCAGTAAAGTCTTACGTGAATATTTTGTACCACACCTTCAGCTCTGCCTGAGTCCATGTCTGTTGAACTGGTTTGATTCTGCGTTGTCGGATCCTGTGGATGTGGGCTCATAGCTGGGACAGAGGCACTGTGTGATGAGGCCTCGGGAGGCAGCGCTGGATATGATGGGACCCGGATGTCAGCTGAGACAACAAGAGTCACACGATTTCTTTTACCTGCAAACAAATGAATGACACGTCAAACTTCATGGTGGACATGCTTATGAAGACAGCTGGTTTGTATGAGACTGTTTATAGAAGATGAATTAAGTCCCATAATTTAATGGTCCTGTTTTTTAAGCCTCAAGTTGGCTGTTTTTCTACAAATCACCATCTCTGTGTTCTGAAACTGGGTGAGGGGTGGAGCTCACAGATACCAAGATGTGGCAGTGATCATCCAAAAGCATACTCTGCATTACTGTTGTTTCTGACTTTAATGGGGGCCATTATTTACAAAATGCTCGTGTTTAACTTCAACTGAAGTGGGAACTTGTAAATGAGACAAAAACTCACAATTGGAAGAATTCAAGCTAAAGTTGTTCAGCAAACTAATATTTGGTCATTTTCCCTGAAAAAGATTATTAAAAATCACATTTCTACGTAGTGTTTTTTTAAAAACTTACTTTCATGCCATAATTTTCAGGTTCTGAAAATAAATCATTGTAACCTGATGCCAGGTATTGATTGTACTAGTTCTCGTCCAGTTGTGCTATTAGGGGCAATGACTGCAGTCACACAAGGGGAAAACCTTGATTTATGTTTTGCAAAAATACACCATTAGATCTAGAAACTAGGTCCATCTTTTATATACAGCATATTATATGAGCTCTACATATCCTGCTATAAAATTACTGATATATTTAGTTATTGTCACTGCACTGTAGCTAAGAATGTGATATTAGGTTTCACTCACTTTCCCTGATATTCAGCCATTAATTGATAAATTCAGTCAAATGATCATTTTACCTGAGCTTCCACTGTGCTGTTCTGCAGACTCGTCCAGCTCTCCTACCAGGGGTCTCATCTGGCTCTCATCGGGAGCTTCATCTAACCATGAGGTCGACTGCTGCGTCTCCATCCGACCCATCATATGACCTGCATAAAGGTCTCGCCCGCCGCTCAACCAGTGAGAGCTGGACTGATGGGAGAGCCGACCAATCATCCGACTCAGTGTGGAATCCCATCCATCTTGACCCACACTTGGGGAGAACAGCTGGCCCGGAGAGTGACCAAGCATTGATGAGTGAGCTGACGGATGACCAACAAGCTGCTCCAGGGCCGAATCCCTCTGCTCGGTAACGAGGCAGGATGACCGGTCTGCCAGCTGACCAATCAGAGGCCGGAAAGAATCCTGCTCATGATCGTCAACCAGTAATGAGGCTCCAGCAGAGAACTCGCCCACTTTGGGATCCACTTGATTGTGCACTTCCTGCAACGATAACAGGGGGAAAAAAGAAAAAAAAAGAAGAAGTCAAATTCTTCTAAATCTACTTTCCACTTTTTTTTGCAATTTAGAGACTGGCTAGAACAGAATAGCCCTATATTGTCATTGTAGATGTACAACTCCAATTCCAATCAAGTTGGGACGTTGTGTAAAACGTAAATAAAAACAGAACACAGTGGTTTCCAAAACTTTTTCAACCTATATTTAGTTGAATACACTACGAAGACAAGACATCTGATGTTCAAACTGATAAACGTTATTGTTGTTTTGCAAATCTTCACTCATTTTGAATTTGATGCCTGTAACACGTTCCAAGAAGCTATGACAGGGGCAGCAAAAGACTGGGAAAGTTGAGGAATGTTCAAAAAACACTTGTTTTGAAGATTCCATGAGTGAACAGGTTCATTGGAAACGGGTGTTTGTCACAAAAAGAGCATACCCAAAAGGTTCTGTCGCTCACAAGCAAGGATGGGGCGAGGTTCACCACTTTGTGAACAAATGCATGGGCAAATAGTCCAGCAGTTTAAGAACAATGTTTCTCAATGTACAATTGCAAGGAATCTGGGGATTTCATCATCTACTGTCTACAATATCATCAAAAGATACAGAAAACCTGGAGAAAACTCTGCACATAAGGCCAAATACCAACACTGAATGCCCGTGACCTTTGATCCCTCGGGCAGCACTGCATTAAAAACCAACATCATTCTGTAAAGGATATTACCACATGGGCTCAGGAATACTTCAGAAAACCATTGTCAGTTAACACAGTTTGTTGCTTCATCTACAAGTACAAGTTAAAACTCTACTAATTCAACTCTAAAATCTGATTATCCTGAGTTTGATATAGTCTGCTGCTACAAGTAACACTGAAGCTCCAAACTACAAAGCTAGTGGGTGATGTTACTGGATATGTCCGTCCTTTGTCCAGTCTGTTTACTACCAGAGGAGTCTGAGCCCAACGGGCCATTACAAAAAAGACATTTAGCTGGTTTTGAGGTACTTCCTGTTTCAAGTGCAGAGTCTATGTTTATCTTTTATATACAGCTTAATACTCATAATTTGTGTTTGGGTTACAACATGTGCATGCCCACAGACTCACTGAGCTCAGTTCAAGTGTAGAAACCATCATGAAATGTACTTTAACTTAGTTCACTTCAGGTTCATTATGTTTACATCATCACTCAGGGTATTCAAATATCGATAACAGTTGTTACAAAGAGCTTCAAAGGACTCTAGTATAACAGCTTAAAACTGAATGACTGACCAGGCCTCTCGTCTCCGTTCCTGCTGCGTCTGAGAGAAGAGACTGGCGTCGTGCAGAGCTTTCATCCTCCCCTCTTCTCTCCAAGACTCGAAACAAAGACTGCTGAGAGACCGAAGCGCTGCGTTCTTCCATATGTGAGCCTTCACTGTCTAAAGATCAACAAAGGAATAAAACACTGTGCTATCAGACAGCCTTTGTCACATCTCCGCATCTTATCACACCATGTCTTAACACTCCTACCTAAACTATCAAGGTGAAGACAGAGCATCGCCTTCAAATAAAAATGTCCATTTTGTACCTGTTTTCCCAGCAGAGCTGAGGGAGAGGTCAAGTTCCCGTGTATATTTGTCTATAATTTGTTGGATACTGCTGTCACTGAACATCGAGTCCACAGACAGACCAGGAGGGCCAGTCGCTGAGTTTTCCTTAACACAGAAGCTCTCACCAGACAGACAGGAGACGTGTTGTAAACCTGCTCCACCTTCTTGTTGATCAGTGCGTTTATGGAGGAGAGATTTATCTAAAGTAGAAGAAGAAGAACCAGGTCAGCACATTAGAAGTATAGCAAAGTCGTCTTATTAGGCCATTTTAAAGAGGGAGAAGTTTAAACGGCTTCTTTCAGACAGAAAATGAAATTATGAGCTGCACAAAGACCAGAATCATGCAAAGTTACTTTAAAATCCAAGAATAGTAATCTGGAAGTGGGAATGAGCAGAACAGGTTCACTTTAAAGTTTAAGGCATAAGTCCATGCAAATGCACAGCAGCACACAGCTGTAACAATAAACAACATGCTCCCTTATAATCCTTACAGTTTAACCATATTATCCGTTTAATCATGAAGAACTACCCCAGTATCTGCTGGATCATCTGATTTAAAGCTGCACAGACATGTCACCTACACACCTGGCTGTTCCTCACCGGTGTTTACATTCTGCTCTGGGTCAGTAGTCATGTAGCTTCCGGTGGAGATGGTAGTAGAAGAGAAGCTGTCAGACCCAGGAGGCCTGTTTGGAGACTGACACAAAATAAACTGTTATGGCATCTTATCTTGTTATAGAGATAAACACACTCTGGACACACATTCATACAGTTGAACATATTGAAGCATTTTGAAACACAAACTTATGTTTTGAATATTTAATGCATTTGTATATATATATGAGCATCCTGACCAGTAGTGATGTACTCAACAAAAGACCAAACCCCTGAAGAATCACTTACTTTAACAGGAAACCCCACCTAAACACTAACACTGAAGCTCCAAAATACAAAGTTAGGGGGAAATGTTACTGTGGGGACGTCCGTCTTTTGTCCATCTGTTTACTACCAGAGGAGTCTCCCCCTACTGGCCATTACAAAAAGACACTGAGATACTTCATGTTTCAAGTTCAGAATCTTTTTATCTTTTATATACAGGATAACACTCATACAAATGGACAGTGAAGACCTCTGTCCATTTGTAGAGAGACAACTTAAATTTGTGTTTGGGTTATAACATGTACCGACTCATACATAGACCTGGTGTTACGCAGACTCACTGAGCTCAGTTCAAGTGTAGAAACCATCATGAAATGTATTTTAATTTAATACAATTCAGGTTTATTATGTTTACATCATCGCTCAGTGGAAGGAAGGAAAGAAGACAAACCATCCACTCATCACACGCACACACACACACACACACACACACACACATACACACGCACACACACACACACACACACACACACACACACACACACACACACACACGCACACACACGCACACACACGCACACACACGCAGCTTCTCAAACATAATCACAGGCTGAGGCAGATGCTGCCCAAGCACTCAGATTTGGCTATTTTTCATCATTGATCCACATCATCATGTGAACCTCAGAGGGTATTAAAATATACATAACAGTATTAATATGCACTGACATTTACTTCCTGCATATTAAAACTGCTCCTTCCCTTGTAGCTTTCTAACCCACTATGGGCTACATGAGCTTTCCAGGGGAGGAAAGAGCAGTGATAAACACTATATGAACACTGGGAAAATTGTCACTGGACTGGTTACCTCTGTGGGGGATCTGTAGCTCGTCACTGCAGGACCAGAGAAATCTGCTCCTCTCCCAGAGTCTGAGGAAAGGGGGGACTTTTTTCTTGGGACTGAATCTAGAAAACAGTGTTTCCACGTCAAGAAATCTTTAATTTCCCTGAATTCAGTGGTACCATTTTTCCCCATGTTAAATCTTCTCTACCCACCAGAGATGGAGGATTCTGGAGATGCTCCTGCCTCTGTCAGTAGCAGTCTCTCTCTCCAGAGGCTGGATCTCCCTGAACTTGTCCCTGAGCTGGATAATCTTTCAGAGATCTTCTGTCCACTGCTGAACTCCGAGGTTGTCTGCAGAGTCCTGTCAGAAGCCATAGAGGAGTCGTACTCCTCCTGCTGATCCCAGCGTTCAATGTGTGAAGGAACTGTCACACCATTGTCTGGGCCTACAGCTAAAACAAATAAATAAGTCGGTGTTATACATGCAGGAGATGAAACTGCCCGATATGCACGTCTTACTGCAGCTGAGCAGACCTGCGAGTTGGCTGGCATCGACCGGAGTCTCCACCTCTTGAATAGCACTGAGCTCGTGCTGTTCAGTCATCATCTCCAAGAAGCCCAGCCTGAGGCGTGTCACAGGGGGCTTTGCTGCTCGTGGAGGGTGGAGGTGTCCTGAGTGGAGGACTGATGTCAGGCCAGGTCCGGCAGCAGCATCACTCTGAACTTTAAAGCACAAGAGAAACAACCAGTCAGAAATATGGACAAAATAAATAAATAAAGTGTACCGTTTCATTTTTAAAAACAATGCATTACTCTACATTTTATTTTAATGCCAGTGACCTCGCTCTGCAACTTTACATGCTCACACTGAGTTGATGTTATCCCTAAACACTACCACTTTGCAATAAAAGCCCTTACAATTGATTGTGGAATATCTAGGAGAGGAATTTTCACAAACTGACTTGCTGTAATCCCATTACAGTAGACTGCATGACTAGGTACTTGTTTTTATTGAAGCCCAGGTTTATTAGGACAGTTTTAAAGTTGAGAAACAACAATGACAACATTCAAAAAACACAAAGCCTGAATTTAAAGATGAAGATATAGTGTCCCGTCCTGGACTCTAAAGAAGATAGACAAGACAAGATTCCACTTTTACTTTTGCAGAAAAGCTGGAAAACGCTTTTGGGGAAACGTTCTCGTGCCCAAAATGTTCTTTGAGCACCAGACACAAATTTAAGGATTTGTAATTAATTGTTCATCTCTGTTTTTAAAGAAGACAAAATTAAACTGTTAAAGGAAAAAGTAAGAGAACCTGACTGTGAAACACTGACGGGGGCTTTATAATATCTGACATTCTGCCTTGAATCTGCACAGGAGAAAAATCAGAAGGTTTTGAAATATAAGGCAAACAAAAGCAACATTTCCGCTGCATTAATTAAGGACAGGGTTCATACGCCTTTTCAGGGTCAAATTCAAGCACTTTTTAAGCACTTTCAAGGTCCCTTTTCAAGCCTTTAAGAATGCACAAGCATCTACTTAAAATCTATTGAATTTATCATCTGTGATATTATTATGTACAATCCCAATGTATTTTGTTCATCTGCCTTAAATAAACAGGCAGCCTTAAAGTATGAAATATTCATATATAAATACACATAAATGTGTGTACTGTCTGAGTGGCTGATTGTGCCCCACAGGCCTCAGTGTGAGCTTGAAGACATTTATAATGTTTAAGTAGTTTAATGTGTAGGTGCTGACGATAAACACATTTTGAATGAAAGCCGGGGAACTTTGGTAGCACAGAAACAAGTGGCTATTCTTTATGACCATATGGATCACTCCCTCATATTACCAATATTTCACCCAAAGGCACCAAGTTAATACTTTAAAAAACTGCAGTAATACAAACAAATATAAACAGAACTTGGTGACAACTTTGCTTTTAGCCTTTAACCCTCTGGTGTCCAGGCTATAATTGGCCGTTTTTGACTACTTTTGATTTGGCCTCTATATTTCACCTTTACCTTTTCACCTATATTTCAGCACAATTGATCTAAATTCAGACATAATTTAAAATATGAGTAGAAAGTGATATTTTTGACTGTAAAAACCACAAGCATGTTTAAGGAATCATTTTCATAACTTGAAATGCAAATAGAAATTGTACATTTTTAAAAAATATGCACAAGTTTTGCAAACAAAGTTATATGGTACTATTTACCTAAAAATGCAGCCAAGGCTCAGGCGTTTTTCATATAACCATTTAAAACTATTTACAGAACAATCAGGTGCTCTGCGTCAAATAAGGCGGCACACAAATTATTTATGCCACTCCAAAAAATAGTTTGTGTCCACTATAACACAGATGAGAACAGCACAGGGATAAACCTGCAGGTCTGACAGCAGGTGTGTCACTCAGCGTTTACACTGCAATCTGCCTTTAGTGTTTTTTTTGCAGCAACTGTGACATTAACTAGTAGAACTAACACACAAAACAACAACTACACAATAACTATACAAGACAACACACTAACTTGAGACTCCAAACACAGTAGACGTCACAAATCTCTCACGTATCAAAACTCTCTCTCTCTCTCGCCGGTCACTCCTAAAACTTCCCCCCCTTCCCAAACGACCAAATGCCACATGTTGCCATATCATCTTTTGATTGGTCGACATGGTACATTTTTCCACCAATAGGGAAGGAGTGTTTTTTTCCTTTTTCTTTTTTCACTCACAAGCAAAGCGTGTTTGCTGGCGCTCTTCTTAGAAAACTGGTATACAGCTTGAAGTCCGCACGTTCGACCCAAGTTGAAATGGAGACTCTGGGTCCGTCGACCCTAGAGGGTTAATCAGAAAGCCTTAAGTTGGCTAGTTATGTATCAGGCTAATGTTTAAAGCTTTCACTTGAGTAAATTAACTCACATTACTGCCAAGTAATGTTAGCCAAGTTCACAGCATATTCCATAATAGCGCTGCCACACTGCATCACTCTCAGTGCATTTCAATCATTTCTCCAGCGAGTTTGATAGCTAGCAAAATAATAATCATAATTTTAAAAAATTGCATGTGTAACATACACGTACTGGAAAATGATTTACTAGGACCTATCATGCGACTGGAGAGCGCCAACTCCGCCATTGTCGTTTTCCATCAAACACTCATTACAACAGCAACCTACAGGTGTGTTAGCGCACTCATCCCCGACTGTTAGAGGGAGGGGCGGGGTCACACGTTGAAACAGACGCAAGGCAGCCCAGGCGGGGAAATTTTGCTTTTACATTTTGCGACTCATTTTATTTCTCTATCTGATAAGAAAACTATTCAATCAGATAGTTATTTGTTGTGAATGAAATACAGTTACACTTTCACGCACTTTTAAGCACCACATCTGAAATTCAAGCACTTTTCAAACCTTGAAAAAGACAACATTAAAATTCAAGGGTTTTCAAGGATTTCAAGCACCTGTACGAACCCTGTAAGGAATAAAGATCAGTGGTTTGTAATAGTGCTTGTTAACTTAAGAACGATCGTTATTATTGTTGACTTCATTCAGTCATGTGCAATTGTCCCAGAAATCATTTTGACAAAAATATCTCCATTCTCAACATGTCAGCTACCTGTTTGACTGCTGTTGGATGGATGTTGTTCAGAGGAGCTGTCGCGATCTTGAGGGTCCTCTAGGTGTGATAAAGTTCCTCCATTAGACTCCTCTATGGCCTTGAGCAGGGATGCAAGTAACTGGAGGCGGTTCTGATTAATGTTCTCCGAAACGACTGTTTCACCATCAGGCCGAGAAACTGGCTGTAGGTGAGAAAAAGTCATCAGGATGGTTCATTTCTCACATGTTCTTTCACTCTTAAACATTTAAGCTGACGGTGTTTTTTGGCACTCTGCTTTTCAATCTCTGTTTCTACGCAATCCTTTCTTAAAACTATGATTTTTTTTACTGCAAAATAACTGCTTTAACAGTCCTCTCACTTACTTGTGCATCGGTATTAATCAGTGCCTGCAATGTCTCCTTTTGTCTCCTCATCTGCACCATCTCCAAGTCCTGTCTCCGCCTCTCCTCTTCCTGTTGCCTTTGCTGCAGCATCAGTGCCTCCCTCTGCTCTAGTACTCGCCTCTGGGCCTCCTGCAACTCTTGTCTTTGTCTCTCCATGTTGTCCTCTCCAACGCTCAGGGATCCAGTGCTCCGAGAGGCCTCTGCCTCAGCCAGAGCATAACCTGAAAGTGGAGCTGTAACCTCTGCGATGGTCGATTTCATGACTTTGATGGGTTCAGAGGATGGCTGCACTGGGATGCTGCTAGAGTGATGTTCTGTGAATCGTTTACAAGGCAGCTTCTCTTTGGTGACTGACAGCGGTCTCATTCTCTCTGGAAGGTGCTCTGTTACTTTCTCCATTATGCTGTCAGTCAGCCAAGACGTGTCATTTACTCTCTGGTATCTCAGACTGTCTGAGTCGGATTCAACATCATCTGGCAGCGGTTTGGAAGCCAGACTAAAACCAGATAGGCTCGGAGGGGACGTTAATGTGTCAGATTCTTCTGTGGAAACATCCTCAGAGGTTTGTGGCAATTCATGATTATACACAGGCACTGCATGAGCCTGGAGAGGAGCCTGGGGAGGAGCCTGGGGAGTCTGCAGAGAGGGGTGGAGAGGAGCATGAAGAGGAGGATGGAGAGGAGCCACAAGAGGAGCATGGGGAGTCTGCAGAAGGGGATGGAGAGGAGCCTGCAAAGGGGCCCAGGGAGCGTGGAGAGGAGCGTGGAGAGGAGCCGGCGCAGCTTGCAGACGACCTGGATGACGAACACACTGTGTACTGTTTGGAGGTGGATGAGCAAGGCCTGGAGGCACAACAGGAGGTAGTAATGAAGTGGCAGTCATGTTGTAACGAATCTGTAGAGCTTGTTGGTATTCCTCCAGGCGCTGGCGAGCCACTTTCACTCTTTGGTGGATTCTAAAATTAAAAAACAAACAAACAACAACAACAACAACAGGAGGGTCAAAGGCATTAAAGTTATGTAAACTCAGAATCACAAACTGGCCCAAACAGATTTATTCATCACACCGGTTTTGCTCTAACAACCGCTGCTGGTATTCTCTGATCCTTTTGCTATGGTCGTCCTTATCTGCAGGAGGAACTACCTGTGAAGATCAAACACAAAGGAAGGGATTACTCATACAGCCTGGAAAACCCCTCACAGAAGACAATGGTGGAGGACAAAACCTTGAATTTCCACAGTTCACATTACTAGTTTTTGACCAGTCCCTCCCAAGTGTGTGTGAATCTGTTAGATTTATTTTCTCAACTTAATTTTTCTCTTCTTATCTGGAAAATATCCCATCTAAGTTCCATCCCCTTCTAAGCTGGGCTATGAGCACAGAAGCTCCACCTACATGTTAATCAAACCTTCTGTTTGTGAGAGGCAGCCAATCAGAAGAATTGCTCAAAGGAGGAGGAGCTAAACTAGCTTGCTTCAAAGTCAGGATGTCATGAGGGAAAACACATACAACAATGTGAAGATTATTTTGAACTGTAAATCAGGCAAGAGCAAATTATACATAATACGTTGGTCAACTTTAAGCAAAAAACAACAAATAACAACTGAACATGTTTCTCAGACTAAAGTAATATTAGACCCAAGGAGGTTAAGCATCAGAAGATGTTAACCGCATGTATAACATCCATGACATATTTTGCATCTTCGCTATTATGAGCATGACAAGATTAATCCAATAAATAGAATTTTCAATAGCCATTAAAAAAACCTGATAACAGGAAAATTGAATGGAGGTTTGACAGTTGGATTAGAGACCTACCTCATTGGCTAAATTAGGGGTGATAGAGATGACATCGTGGTCATGGACTGGCACTTCTGGTTGGTTAATGGTTTCTTCCTGGGTCACGGCAGCCTTCAGTCGTTCTTTCTCCTGCTGAGCTTCAAGCAGCATCTGCTCCAACTTGGCCTTCTGCTCTTCCAGCTCCTGCAGCAAAAACATCTGCTGCTGCTTCTCCCTTTCAAGCTCCGCTTCCTGGGCAGGAAAAAAAAAAAAGAGGCTTAAAAAGTGATGCTACTAGATGCAAACTCAGATTTGAGCTACGTTTTAGTTTAGAAGATAAAATTTTAGCTGCATCAGGTGTGTTACTGTTAATTCAAAGCTAGCCCCTGGTAAAATCTTTATCACCTCCTCTCCAAAAATCACCAGCAGGAATTCACAACAAGCCCACAATGAGTTTCTCAGCAAAACCTGGTTCTAACCAGTCAGTGAACTGGTGATGAAGTACTGGGACAACAATGAAACAAGTGCTTACAATATAGAGAAGATCTGTTCGATCAACAATGCTCTGCTGCAGTGTCAAAATTCTGGGACAGAATAGAGAAGGGGGGCACAGAAAATCAAACAAGAGGGGGGCACAGAGCAGTAGTCTCGCATACTTTGTACACCGCCTCCATCTGACTACAGAGCTCCCAGCAGGCATGCTCGGATTTTAGCGGACAGTGAATGTGCCATCACTGCAGGACTAAAAAACAAGCTCCGAACCATCACGGGACACAGAGTACAGACATTTAAGTTTTTTACTCTCAATATTAACTCCTCCCATCTAAGTGAAAAGTCTCACAGAAATTAAAATGAACACGAACCCGTTTCTTTCGCTCTTCTTCAAACTCTTGGATTCTATTGGCCAGAGCAGCAGGAAACTGAGTATCTGAAGCTGATGATGGCAGCGGCGTTTTCTCTGATGCTGGTTGAGTTCAGAAAAAAATCCACAAGATTATTACCTTGTAATAAACATTTGTACTTTTTTAAACTGTTAAAAGAATATTAATAGTTTTATTAATATTTATGTAGATTGTTCTTACAGCTGATCAGAGTCACTGATTACCTGGTGGAGACCGGTCAGCCTCCTGGGGCTCGGTGGGGGTCCATTCGTCTTTTCCTCCGCTGATCAGAGAGCCTGTTTCGATCGTCATGTCGCGCTCTGGGATCTGATCTCGGATGATCGTTGGGGAATCAGCAGCAGAGCTGCGACTGCTGTGGTCAATCCACTGGTTCCTTTGGCTCCTGATACGATCCAGGAGCCTCTTCAATGCCCGTCGAGGAGCAGGTTTCTGGGAAACCACTGCAAACAAAGAAAAACTCAAGGAAATCACATCAAGGTTTCAACATTCATGCTACATTCTGGGCCAGAAGGTTTTTTATTTGTCTCAGAATTTGACATAATTCATACAATACACTTCAGTAAGCTATTATCTGACAACTGATCTTATTATAAACTGCACAAGAATGACTTGAGTTTTTAAATCTGGTGCTTCTGGTCACCTTCAGCTGATGTTTCCTGCTCAGTGCTTCCAGGTTCCTGCTCTGTGTCATGTTGTGCATTTTCTGTTTCAGGTGTTGTGATTTCATCCACTGTGACATCCAGCTCTTGATCTTGGCTGGTTGTGGAGTGGGCTGGAAGAGGCTCAGGTGCCAGCTGGACCACCAGGTCACCTTTAACCCCTGTAACAATTAACAAAGTTTAAAGAGGCTTCAGAGCAACTTCAGTGCCCATTTCTGGCCAACTTTGTTTCTCTGGTTTTAAGAACATGTATGAATACTGAAAATCCGTATTTGCTACAAAATACACGATGAAGAGTCCTTACTCCTCTCTCCAGTGTACATGTCCTCAAAGGCGAACTCCATCTCCCTCTGGAAGTCTTCCCTCATTTCCTGTCTCTTATAGAGAGGCTGGAAGATCTGAGGAGGCATCTGCGACACCTGCTGCCTCCTCCTGAGCAGATCTGTCTGCTGCATGTGTTCAAGTTCAACCAACAAACGCTCACGATCCTAAAGGAGGCCATTAAACACTGATCAGGCACTTCATATGACCAAAAAGTAAACAGTTCTCATCTCTGCTTACAGCTAAACAAGTTAAATGCAAGCCTATCAAACATGTTAAAGTACTACATTTTTTAAACATGTAATGAAAGTGCAACCTCCACAAGAATTTCTTTATTCTGGCATGTCAGTGACTAGGTTAATTAGTCACCAGGTTAACAGGCAAGTTGTACCTGCATGAGCTGTTCCTTCCTCAGAGCCTGCCTCCCTCTGAGACGAGCCTTTTCCAGCTGCTCTTCTCTCCTCCTCATTTCCTCTGTCTCCAAGTCCTGCTGTCTTTTCGCATGTAGCTCAGCTTCCTCGTGGGCATTTGGCTGATTAGGCAGATCGATTAGATAACTCTGACAAATCACGCTGGTAAATACAAACAAAAATCAGAGGGTGTTTTACCTGGTTTATGTCCACCTCTCTGTCCACTGTACTCTTGGCCATGTGGTAATGTGTGGTAGCAAAAGCACTCACATCCGATCTCCTTACGAAACGTGGCTTTTTGGGACTGATGTTCTGCTTCAAGGAGAGAAGACAAGGTTACCTTGACTTTCATTTAGCTTTACTTTCATTTAATATTCAGGATTTGGAAACTTTCAGGAAATTATTATCACTGTTTGGGAAGATCACCTGAACAGGGTTTGGGAGAGGCAGTGGAAGGCTAGCCACCTTTGCTGATCTTTCCTTTTCTGCCAGTAATGCCTTCTTCCTGGCATTGACAACTCTACAGAACAGTGAAGCCACAGGTTTAATGATCAGTTCATTCTGATTAAATTTAAACACATAAACATCTGAAAATTCTTGTGATGACGCTCACTGGTTTTGCCTCTCATGGTCTTTAAGCCTCTGTGATTTGAGCTCCTTCAGCGCTTCTCGATAACGCTCCTCTGCTTTGACGTGATTCTCCTCCTCCCTATGAGCTATGGCTGCCAAGTCGGGTTCCTTGAACAACAAGTTTAGCCACAAAAAATAAATATCATATGGACAAGGGTTAACAAGAATCAAATATCAACATGGTGCAGTGTATTCTGCCTTTTCTAAACAATTCAAATACTACTAAAGTGTCCTAGTGCAAAATACTGAAGCACGCTAGACTACTATTACTCTGCTTCTTCCTTAAGCAGATTGAACATTAATATTTTGTTTTCTCACAGAGTGAAAAAACCCAACCTAAGTTGGAGCTCTAGCTCGGGGACATAATTTATTTGACAAAAGTCATTCAAAGTTTAAACTTTTAGTAACGTAATCAGTCTTTCAATAGCTTCTATGTTTTTTTCCCAAAGTCTAAATTTAACTTTTATTAAAAGTTGACATTTCTCCTTCATTCTGCAGACACGATAGGATGACATCACTAACTGCTGATTTCCGTTCTAGTCTTTTAAAAAAATTGTTTCATGCACAGGTCTTATCCTTTCAGCGTACAAATGATAAAACATACCAAACTTTTTGTCCACTTTCAACTGAGAAGACACATTGTAAAATTTCAGTTGAGAATTGGAAATGCAGGATGTCTCTCTCTCTCTCTCCTGCAATTACTTCCATATAATAAAGACTACGGTTGTGAAAAATTAGTATGTGGTCAAGCAGCTGGTGCAATGATACACTCAAAATGTCTTAGTTGGATACACGACAACTAGAACGTAGCAAAGAGTATTCGGTGGAGGTTTTTTCCCCAAATGATGACAACATATTTTTCTTTGGATTTTGGAGTGTCACTGTTACTTTGATCTGTGGATTTCAGTATTCATGACAACTGAAAAAATATTTTTATAAATTAAATAATTAAAATAATAGCAAATATATATAATTATTTGTGTATATTTATATGAAGCTTGCTTTACATGATTTATCTAACTGTCTTAAACAGATGAATCTTCTCGGGAAGTTTAAGACATTTTCTTACTAATTTCAGACATTTTAATGACCCACAGAAACCCTGTGGACACTGCACTGATGAGTTTATGTTTACGTCAGTGTGGCTCAAAATTTAGTTTCATACATTCTTTTTATTCTTTCATAATCCCCGTTTTAGTGTCTCTAATTTGAACTATTTTAGCCTTACGTTTTCTTTTGCACTCCTGTGCCCCTGGCCGAGCAGCTGGAGACTCTCCTGGTATAACCTCTGCAGCCTCTGGAGCTTTTCCCTCTGCTGTTGCTCCCACTCCTTCCTCAGCTCCCGCTCAAGTTGTTGCAGCTCATACTGTCGCCTCTGCTCAACATCTTGGCGGATCTGCTGTGCAATGTACCGGTGCTGCTCCCGCACCTGTGTGTCAACACAAAACACACACTCAGTGTGCATTAGGGCTGAACGATATATCGCATTTGCGATAATA